AAAAAAGAACTGACACCAAAGTCTGTAAAAAGTAATCAGACAATATATTTAATTATTTTTAAGATGTTAACAGCATTGAAATATTTTAAAAGTAAAAGCACATTAAATACTCGTAATATTATTAATATTTGTAGAGGTGTGTCTGCAGACTTTGGTCAAGAAATATAAGCGGAACAGAAAGTATTTAAATATATATATTTTACCTATAAGTCACCTATCATGCTATTTTTAGGCTATAGCATAGGTCTCAGATATATACAAATATATAAAAACATGTCTATGAAGTGTTTTGCTCAAAATACCAAACAGATCACCCATTCTAGCCATGCCTCATATCCCTCTGTTTCACTTCCTGTTTCAAATGTGATGATTTGGGAATAAATCTTTTTTATTTTTTCAGATTGAACATAGTCAAAAAATGTAAATGATTGTGTCCGTCCAAAAAAAAACACATTACTTATAGTGAAAACTACCCTTGAATGATGGGATAGGAGACTAAAAGCTTTAGGAATCCAAACTATAACATATAATAAGTACCCTGTATCAAGATTTATGCAAAACAAGTGACATTTGACCTTTATAGAGAGATTTAGCAAAAAAAAACCCTCCTGGGGTCATTTGGGTGGATTTGACCTTTCTCTGGCCCCCATTGGTCGATTTTGATGATTGACATCTTTTTAACCGTCAGAGCCAATGGAATTGAGGGGAAGTTCCACACACACACACACGTTACCAAATAAGGAGCGAGAGTGACGCGTAGCCAAAACCGGAAGCTGCGCTAACCTCTGGTGGCTACCATTAGCAGCTAACATTAATTCTCAGATTTTTGCATAAAAATGGAATTATGGATTATCAGTATTTTTTTGAAAGTGACAGACACATTGGATTAACCTATGGATTAACCTGCAGCCGCGTTTTTCTCGTTTTAATGCCATTGAACACGACTTTTGATCAGAATAACAGCTAAAGGTGAGCTGAGTTTCTTCCCGTTAGGAGGGGATGACACATTCATAGTTTTTTAAATATTAAGAAACCCTGACACAGTGTCCTGAAAAAAAAAAAAAAGACCTGCCGAAGGGGTCTTTGGGGCTTAACAGGTATTTTAAGTAATCTGGATTTTGTTCAGTCTCAAAGTGTGTGTGTGTGTGTGTGTGTGTGTGTGTGTGTGTGTGTGTGTAAACCTATATAGGATTTTAAAAGGAGTAAAAAACAAACACCTGAAGCTTCAAACAGCATCAGACTATCAGAGGGAATCACACACACCACACACACACCACACACACACACACACACACACACACACACACACACACACACACACACACACACACACACACACACACACACACACACACACACACACACACACACACACACACACACACACACAGTTCCTGCCCTCCTTTTGCCTCCCCTGCTAATACACACCATGAATATTACATTCATGAAAATAAGATGCAATCTCTCTCTCACACACACACACACTTAAACACACACACACTCTGAAGGTCTCGTCCACCTGCAGCCATCGACTGAATGAATCCATCAAGAGATCATTTTCCACACACACACACACACACACTCACGCACACACACACACACACATACAAACGGTCATAAACAGCCTGCTCTCTCTCTCTTTTTTTCAATGTCAGCAGTTTACACCAAACGCTGCTCGCCCATCGGACACACACACATGTATGTAACACATGCAAAAACCCTGTCTGACACACACACACACACACCACACACACACACACACAACACACACACACACACACACACCCACACACACACACACACACACACACACAAACACACACCACACACACACACACAAAACACACACACACACACCCACACACACACCACACACACACCACACACACACACACACACACACACACACACACACACACACACACACTCTCTCTCTCTCTCTCTACCTTTGTTCACCTGCGCAGGATCTGGCAGCGACATTTGAACGACACGGCGATCATGGTAAGCCGAGCCCGAGCGGCGCCCCCCCTCCATGCAGATACACCTCCTTTTACTCCCCCTTTCCTTCCTTCCTCCCCCTTCCTCCTCTCTCTTCCTCAGCGGGCGGAGCGAGAGATGGAACGACCTCCTCAAACAGAGGCAGAACGAGGAGGAGAGGAGAGAGAGAGAGAGAGAGAGAGGCGGCAGATGTGAAGATCCTCCATGAAATGAAGCAGAGGAGGGAGGGAGGGGGGAGGCAGAGTCTGCGCAGATGGGAGGATGAAGAGGATGAGGAGGGGGAGGGAGGGAGAGAGAGGGGGGGAGAGGCTGCTGGGTTAATGTGTGCAGCTGCATGGATGAGAGGAGGAGAGGATACAATGAGACGATGGAAAAATAGAGAGGAGGAATTTAAAAAAGGAAAAAATGATGGAAGGATGGAGGAAATAGGAAATAGGAAAGGAAAAGGGGATGGTATGGAGAATCAAGGGAGTAAGGAAGGAAGGAAGCATCCTATGATCTGTCCCCTCTTCTGATCAACACTCATTTAGTTTTGCTTCATTTCAAGTACTACAAAAAAATAACAGTACTTCAATATTGAATAAGTACTCTTCGATGGTGAGATAGTAAATATTGGTACATTTTTTAAACTAAAGTAGAAATGTGGCACAATGTTGAAAGCAGCTTATAATGAGAAAATAATATAAGTGTTTTATTAACCAATCAGAAAGCAGCTGTCCTGCCCTTCTGCGCTCTCATTGGCTGAGGCAGCAGGAGGGGGCGTGTCCTCGCCCAGCAGGTAGAGAGGCGGTCAGACATGTGGGTCAGTGTCCCAGCAGAGGATTACACCGGATTAATGTGTGTGTGTGTGTGTGTGTGTGTGTGTGTGTGTGTGTGTGTGTGTGTGTGTGTGTGTGTGTGTGTTAGCAGTGATATTACTATAACAGCATATTAAGCACAGCTCTCTCTTCTTCTCAGTAAACACACTGATGGTTGATTTCTGAAGGTGATCCTCTCAGTGAGTCTCTATCGCCCCCTGCAGGAGAAACATGGCAGCACAGCACTCTACTGTATTTACTGTATACTATATATTTATTAATACTCCTACAACAACAACTACTACTACTACTACTACTACTACTACTACTACTACTACTACTACTCAGAATACTTCATTTATCTCGGGGGAACTGGGTTTTGTAACGGTTCCTCTATTTTAAAATGAAATATAGTCAGAAATTGGAACAATATTCAAAGGAATATAAAATAAGAATGTGCAATAATAGGATGAATTAGCACATTAAATGTAGGTTTTGGTTTTGTTCTTCAGAGAGAGGAGATATAACTAAAGCCCAGCTGGTAATTGTGTATCTATCCTGCAAATTTGAATATACACCTTTATATTTTATTTTAAAATATAGAAATAATACTTCTGCTGCAAAAATATACCACTACTACTAAAAGTGAAACATGGTATAGAGAGGCGAAGTCCCGCCCATCTACTTCCGCCCCATGGGACCTTATCTCGGAAAAATTATGTATTGAAGTCAATGGAGAGAGAAAGATTATCTTTCGATCCCGTTTGAATTGTGCCATGAATTACACATCTGATGTTTGTCAATCTTAAAAAATCATTTCCATGTCAAAAAAGTCACAGTTTGTCGTAAAACTGTTGAAATATAAGACTATGAAAAATACGCAGCTAGAAAGACTACAAATCCCAGAGTCCCGGTCCCGCATGCTGGCTCTTAGGAACCGACTAACTCCCCTTGTGTGTATGTACAGCTCTCAACATGCCCAGACTTGGAGTGATTTTCACCTCTTTTAATACTTTCCTTTCCCGCCTCATTCTGAAAGAAAGAAGTGGAATGTGCCAACGTGACGGCCGTCTGGGTGTGTGGTGCGAGACGGGAGATGGAGTTCATTGAGCGCTTTCACACAAAAAAAAAGTGTTAATTCACAGTTTTAAGACACATTTTAATTTTTTTGACTTGTAAAATTATCTTTTAAATTGACAAACATCATATGTGTAATTTGTGGCTCAATTCAAACGGGATCGAAAGATAATCTTTCTCTCTCCATTGACTTCAATACATACTTTTTCAGAAATAAGGTCCGATGGAGCTCCACCGGAAAGGGAGGGACTTCACCTCTCTATTGGAGCAGCAGCTACTGGTTCCACTAGAAATACTTGTGA